TTTCAGATAAGTCTGCTGCGTAAATAGTTCAGCGATGTGTCTCACATGAAATGCATCTACAGCATCGTTTGTCACGCACGAGACGCAGGCATTTTAGCCGTAATAGGCATGCCTAAGACTCACCATTTCTCGCAGATCCTCACTGCGACATTTATGCAATCTCCTTGTGTCATCTGACGGGCTAGCAATGTTGGGGAATGTCTGAGTAATGTACAATGCATACACGCGAGGTTGCGTGTTTGGCTATCTCAGAACCGTTGTCCTACCGTGTCAGATGTTCAGTTCAGTTTAGTACGAAACTGAATGTACTTAGTGGTTCTGAGTCGTGACCATTATCATGCTGGAATGTGGGCTGGTGCTTCGTTTTTTACTGTGAGGACGAAACCACTGGTCACTGATTGATCATATCCTAAGCCGTGCTCATGTCGAAAAAGTGAGCTGCTTGTCCGCTACAATAAAGCGAAGCAATCTGATTCCAGTAAGGTAGCTAGTTGCACCATGTCCCGTATTTCAGGAAGGAAAAATGCAGCTGCTGCGGCTGATACATTCTCCTCGCTGTCCAGTTACATAAGTTAGAGAATGTTTCATTCAGTTCCGTACTGAACTGTGACGGCCACTCTACTCATCACACTCGATCAAACAAATGTGCATGGGCGCCGATGACCACTGTAGTCCGGGCGCCCAAAAACCCCAATTCACCATCATCAAACAAATGTGCATCGGTCATCGTTATATCCAACGCCGCGGCTATATCGGCAGGTGGACACTGGACATCGGTCACCCCTTCAAAGTCCCGATTCCCGGCCCAATTCCAACCACCCCCCGCCGTGTTTCACAGTGCTGGATGACGAGAACTCAGGCGAGTTCACGGCCGGCGCTATCACGACCGTGACCGTGAAGCTGACCCGCCGTGACCTGGGCGAGGCCAACGGGCCGCAGACGGAGCGCGCCGCCGCGCCGGCCGACGACGACGCCGACGGCGCCGGCGACGAGGTCAAGGCGGAGGTGCGAGCGGGCGGGGGTGTGGGGCGGTGGGGCGCGGTGGTAGGTAATGGTGGTTCCTAGTTAGATGGAGGGACACTAGGGACTTCCTGGTTAGATGGAGGGACACTGGGGATTTGGGTTACCGTTGGAGGGATCACGAGGGGTATGGGAAGACACATCGATTTTGTGTTTGCTAAAAGTAGGTGTCGTATTGCTTATTTTCACATTGATTGACGTCTTGCATGCATTTGCTCTGTCTGTGTCTACTTTCAAAGCATTGTGAATGTTTAGTTTGCCGCTGTAACTCAATCGGTCGGTCTCTGTCAGAGCAAGGAGAAGACGACGCCTGTATGGAAGTCGTCTAGTAAAAAGAAGGCGAAAACGGGAAAGAAGTCTTCTAAGAAGACGAAGTTGAAGCAGGCGACCAAACCTGATGAGTCTCCCAAGCCTTCCAGTGAGGTAAGATAGCCGCTTTACTGTAGGCATAACATCCATCCTTTGAAGCCTAATTGCGATGACAATCTATTCATTGTTTGCTTACGAATCAATTTTCATTTCCAGATTTACTATGTTTAACCTGTATCTACCGTTTTTAGCGTTGCGCGTTCGGCTGCCACTGTGTCACCACCTTGTTACTGAACCACTGAACCTTTTGACCCGCCATACCCTGTGTGCAGGGTATGGCGTATGGTGGTGGTGCAGGGTATGGTGTAGGGCATACCCTGTGTGTGCAACTGTCGCTGTGACCCCTCTAACCTTGTGTCACTGATTCCGTGTGACCTGGCTGTCCGTTCAGCGGTCCGAGGGCCACGGCTCGGACAGTGACGAGGCCGGCTCCAGGACGACCCGTGTATGTGTTGTGTCTCTGACTCTGTGCCTGCCGTTCCAGCGGTCCGAGGGCCACGGCTCGGGCAGTGACGAGGCCGGCTCCGGGGACGAGTCCGACCACTCTGACGGCGGCTCGGACAGCGACGGCTCGGCGGCCGCCTCCCGGCCCGGCCGCACCGCCGACGAGCGCGAGACAGACGACGAGGAGTGGGAGCGCTTCCAGAGCCGCATCAACAAGCGCGGCAAGGCGCTGGAGACCAAGTCGCGCGTCTCGCACCCCGTGCACGCGCCGCACTTCCCCGACGAGAAGCAGGAGTACTGGTGGGTGTACGTGTGCGACCGTAAGAACAAGGGCCTGGTGACGGCGCCATTCCAGGTGACGGACCTGGTTACCGAGGCCGAGGTCGAGCTCAAGTTCACGGCGCCCAAGAAGCCGGGCCTGTACACGTTCACCGTGGTGCTGAGGTCGGACTCGTATCTGGGCTTCGACCAGACCAGGGACATCAAGGTGAGATCATTTTCATACGAGTAGTCGTGTGAATTAGGCGGTGTTTTTGTGTGATAATGTATATTTTGTAATATTCCGTCAGTGTTAAATTGCATAGCATAGGTAATGGCATTCTGCAGCGATAAATCGTATTTTGATACTCCGAACCACCATGCTGTATTTTGCTGTTTCCTGCTTTATCATTATTCGTTTACATTATTCTTTGTGATCTGTCCACTCGCATTAGCTCTCGCCTCTCGGCGCCCTATTGGTCTCACCCGTCCCCCTCCTGATCAGAAGCCTGCTTACCCTGGGTCCTATGTCTGACACCCCCCCCCCCCCCCCCCCGGCAGTTGGACGTGAAGCAGGCCTACGAGATCCCGGTGGAGCACCCGCAGTGGGACATCTCCGACGAGGAGGAAAAGTCCGACGACGAGAGCGACGTGGACGAGTTCGCCACCGACGACGAGTTCGACGCGTCGGACATGGACGACTAGGGCGGCGGCCACGGCAGAACCCGCGGCAAAGCGGCCGCCGGCGACGGTACGGCGACCCGCCGGGAGGGACGGCAGGACGGCCGCACGAGCCGGCGGCACTCGGCGACGGCTGCCGGCGGTGACTCCGGCGATGGCGGACGGAGGAGAACGGCGGAATCGATTGAAAGGTTGTTGGAAACTGACCGGAGTCTGTTGGGCGAATCCCACGCCTCGTGCTGAGAAAGGACAAATAAGTTACTGTTCAGATGATAATGTACAGATTTCGGACATTTCTCGTGGACACTTGTTGAACTTTGGTGGGCGGAGAGCCGGCCCCCGAGAAGACTTCGGCTGATGGTAGTGCCTCCGGTGAGAACAACTGACGGACTGACGGACTGTAAAGTGAGCATACTGGCTCGAGTGGCCTGTCGAGCGGACCAAACTGAGAGAAAGGGAGAGCTGCGGGTCGGCGAGACGATATTCTGTTGGATCTGTGCGTTAAGAACGGATAATCGGGCGGCCTTTCGTCGCCGGATAAAGAGGCTAAGATGCACACGCCACGTGTGTCCTTTGGGACATGATATATGCGGCGGGGTCACCGCAGACTACTGGACAATAGTTACTAGGTCTTTGTGAATGGCGACCGCCACGGGTGCACTCTCCAGCCGATACCGCGAGTTGTCGTTAGCAACCTGTGAACAACACAGTGCACAAGTCGCCGAACACTGTCGGTGCGTGTCCGCCGTCACCTCTCCGCGATCGGAGACGCTCCTTAGAGAGGTCGGTGTTCTCAGACGGCTGGGACCGGCGCGAGTGGAGGAGAGTGGTATTTTTTTAGGCCGTACTCGTGTGCTGAGGCGGGTGGTGTGGGTCTGTCTGTGTGGGAGATGAGCTGTTTCCGTTACTGGTGGTTCCATGGTCAGTCGCACGGGAAATCGACTGAGGGCAGGGAGAGGGTAGCGCCGCGCGCCGTTCGGTTCTGGTGGTGGGATTTCGTTTGTTCTGAACTTGTGTTCCGAAATTCTTCCTGTTATAACTTTTGGGGCATTTGTTAAGTATTTTATTAAATACACCTTAATGGAGTATCTTGGTGTTTGGCTTGACCTTGGGCGCGAAGGAAGCAATTGTTATTAGAAATGACACGCTCATGGTAGCACATGGATAGAAAATAAATCGTTCGGGTGGCCCTTCCGAAACGCCTTGCCGCAACCTGCAGCCAAACCACTGGCGACTACCGGCTATCCCGTTACTCAAGAAATTCAGGGCCCTGCTTCACCGCCGCTAGCAGCACGCTGCCAGCGCATTTCGTGAGCTGACGTCACAGACTGTGGTTATGTTGGAGATACGAGTTTGTTGATATCCCTATGGAAACCCAGTTTGACACGTGCGCTGGTAGAACGCTAGCAACCAAGATACTTATAAGAAACCTAGCGGCGGCCGTGAAACAGCCAACAGGGCCAAGTGGTGCATCTACTTCTACACTGTACTATCGTGTCGTAGAAAAGATATCCTACACAACAATGAAAGTTAATGACTAACAAGGTACTATCAGCAAATTAGGAAGCAGTTGATGACATCAGTTTCACAATAATTTGCGAGATAGCCAACATGGGCATATATAGCATTTGTTCCATTCCATGCGGTGAGCGTTTCAATCCCACATATACTAATTAGTAGTGGCTTCTTAAAAACTAATTGCGCCAAATACTGCGCAATAATTGCGAAAGATGATGTTTATTTTTGCGCAAGGATTGCTGGACGCTTTTCAGTTTCGATCTCAATCTGCTGCGTGAAGAGCCGTAAGAATGAAGTCATCTTTTTTATCATTAGAAAGATATTATCACAATCAATTTGTTTTAAGGATTATATAAAGCACAAATTGTAGTGAATTCCGCTGCTTGTCTCTATCTCCTATGCTATCGACGCATACCAATACACTCATCATAAGCAGTAGAAAGTGAACACTTTCTGCAAATAAACACTGGTTTTGTGTGCAGCCGCCTGCGTTGTGGGGGGTTACTCTCGTTTGCACTCGTGTGTGCTTATTGTATTGCGATTAAAGAATGTAATGCAAATTTATTGAAAGATTTTCTTCCGATTTTTTTAGATATAAATATAAATGACATCTCCTCTTTGATTTTATGTGAATGTGTGAACGTGTCTGGTCAGTCTGTTGTATGATGTTTACTGTTGAGTGTTGAGGATTATTAGATATCATTTGGCCTGATCACATTTGAACGGTCACTAGGCCCTAAACCTAAAGGCTCTGAGCTTTTTATTACAATTTTTTGTATCAGTCAGGACGATAAAACATTGAAAATCAATGATGGCAACAAATGAAGATGCTTGTTCGGATGATTTGAATTTTGTTCCTGCTGGTGAAAGTGGGGCAATATCAGGCACAGAATCTGCAAGTAAGGTGAGATTGAGATGCAATTTTCATTCCTTAGCATAGTCAAGAGGAAGGTAACACACAACCACTTATGAACCATTTCATCTTGAAGATACCTTCTATATTATTTACCTTTGTAATACCTAAGTGAGGACTCACATTTTAACACAAAACGAACTCACCAAGATAATAGCTGATGCAGAAATGATGGCTGAAATGGGTCGATAAAAATTTCACATCAAATATGGCCACATACACACCGACTGTGAAAATAGCATCTATATTTCTGTACCATTCAGACCTAATTTTCCTAGCAAGTGGTGCAAAATTGAACATATCTGATCATTTCAATATGCTCTTATGCAATCTCTGAGAAGGTTTGTTGTAGGTATTAAATCAGTGATGATCTGAAGCTTAAGCTGCTCTGAAAAAATCTTTTAATTCTTTTGTGTCATTGTGTCTGACATTGTTGCTTTTTTCCAGAACTCATCTTGTGTGCTATGTGGAACCAACATACCTGTATCAGACCAGGCTGGATGTGAACCTGGAAGAGTGGACATATTTGGAAGGTTATCACCTGCCTATGACATCATTGTTATTAATAAGGTAGGTAGGGAGGCTAGTAATTCTGTTCTTTTTTAATGTCGACAGCTTGAACCACTTCATGACATAGGTACCCTAAACTTGATTAAGTATTTAGCTCATAACAATACGATATTTTCCAGTGTCAATCAACCCCAAAATTGTCATCCATTTCCCAAGACAGTGTGCATTCTGAGGTGGCTTTTCTGTTGCAGATGGCTGCTGTGACAGGCTGCAGTGCTGCCGACCTGCACAGCCGCGGTAATCACATCTGTACCAGCTGCCACGACCGCCTCCTGAAGCTGCACTCCATGGAGATGACAGTGAGTGGGCTGAACTGAAAGAAGCTTTTCAGATGCTCAGATCCTCCTCAAAGAGACTGACTTGAGAAAGACTCGGGAAACTTAGAGGCCCAGAGACCATGTCCTGTTTATGCTCGAGGTGGATTGGGGGAGGGTGCTGCTCACACTTTCTGCCATCTCCTCCATCCCTGAGTTGGGCGGTCGCTGCTCACTCACTATACTGCGTCCCTCCCCCGGGTGGACTAGGGCGGGCGCTGCTGACCCCAGCTGCTCCGCCCGGACCGGGAGCGGGCGCTGCTGACCCCTCTGCCCTCTCCACTTCCCCAGGTGGACCGGGAGCGGGCCGGAGGGGGCGCTGCTGACCCCTCGGTCCCCCAGTTTGACCGGGAGCGGGCGCTGCTGACCGCTCTGCCCTCCGTCCCCAGTTTGACCGGGAGCGGGCACCGCTGACCGCTCTGCCCTCCGTCCTCAGGTAGACCGGGAGCGGGCGCTGCTCTCTGAGCAGTACCGCCGCCGGTGCGCGCCCGCCGCGGACCGGCCGGCTCCGCAGTCCGGCGCCAGCCTGCTGCTCGTGGACGACATGGAGGTGCGTCTGCAGGACGACCAGGTGACGGCCGTGCCGCTCACCACCACCCGGCGCCGGCAGCTGCTGCGGCAGGCGCGCAGCTCAGAGCGCCGCTTCGAGTGCAAGGTGGGTCGCCGGGGAGGAGTGGGGAGGGAATCAGCGAGGGAGTGAGGGAGGTGTGGGACTGGGAGATGTGGCAAAGATGATCACAGCGGTAGGAGGATGGTATAGGCGAGCATGAAGGATCTGCGCCCTATTCAGCGTGTTATCAAGCGACCGAAAGGCGTTTCGCCAGCTGAGCTCAACTTCTTGAATTCATAATTCAGATAAAGTTATATGTGGACGTGGTTGCAATGTATCCAGCATCCACACACTGTATATCCGTCACCCCTGATTTCGTGACCGGCCGGTGTGGCCCGCTGACGGTGACCGAGCAGGAGACGTTAGAGTCGGCTCAGGACCCGTAGCCGCAGGGCTCAACGGTCACCGGAGACATTCGTCCCTTCCCTCCCCCCCCCCCCCCCCCACCACCCGTCTCCGCCTGCCATCTCGGTTCCTGGATCACGTACTGTCGACTGAGCTCTATTTTCCACTGCATGTGTATCAAACTGTTTTAAGGAAATTTCGCCTCCATATTGTGCACCATATTAGCTGCGTTCCATCCATCCGCCTCCTGCTGTGTCCGCACTGGTTTTCGATATTTTCCTGGCTCCACTCCACTCTCGTTTTCTCTCGGTATTCTCCAATTTAAGCTTCCTTCCCAACGTTTTCGACCTTTTCTTGGACGGACACAATAATTTTATTTTCACGGCAAATAACTCCGCGCCTGTCCACTGTAGGTATGTGGGAAACGGTTCCGAGCCTTCAGTCACCGCGTGGAACACATGCTCATCCACGTGAACGAGACGCCTTGGGCGTGCGAGTTGTGTCCGAAGACCTTCCGCACCAAGTCGGCCCGCACGGCTCACCAGCGGGTGCACGCGCCGGCCGCCACCCGTTTCAGCTGCTCCGTCTGCGATCGACAGCTTTCCGACGCGGCGTCCCTGCGCGCGCACGCGCGTACCCACGAGCACGACAAGCCGTACACGTGTGACACGTGCCAGCACAAGTTCGCGCGCCGCAAGGACTACGCAGTCCACGTGCGCCAGCACACGGGCGAGCGGCCGCACGCGTGCCCCGACTGTCCGCAGACGTTCGTGGCTCGCTCGCGGCTGAACCGACACCTGCTGCTGCACCGGGAGAAGCAGTTCGCCTGCGCGTGCGGCCGCGCGTTCCGGCGCCGGTACGAGCTGCAGAAGCACGCGCAGAGCTGCGGTCAGCCGGGGACAGGTGGGGAGGCGGCGCCGGCTGACCCGGCCTCTGTGACCCAGCCGGACGGACAGCCGGCGGCGCTCACCTACCTGCCGGTGGTGCTGCGCGAGCCGCCGGCCGTCTACTACCAGGTGGTGACGCCGGTCGCAGTGGAGGGGGCGGACGGGGCCGGACAGACCCCGGCGCACCAGGCCGTCCCGCAGGGTCAGGAGCAGGCGCTCCAGCTGTCCGTGGTGACGTACTGAACCAGGAGTGAAAATCTCAGTGGCTGCTCTGTGAGGGTGCGACAATTCACAAGGCTGCTGATGAATTCAAATGATCGAGCTTATCTCCGCAGGAAGTTATTTGTAAGCTCCGTTTACATGACAGCTTCAGCCTAGTCGTGTTATTATTTATTTTGTTATTTGAATGGTGCAACGATTTTGCTGAGAGGCATTGAAGTTCGTTCCGTTTCTTTTTTGCACTTTCATATTCGCAAAATTTTGTTTCCATGCGTTTGAATCAAAATATTTACATAAACTTTGTCATTCACTCAAATTACATTGATCGAGATGCTTTGATGAATTTCCCCAACATTGTTTGCTTACCCACATGACTTGTTATGTGAGTTGTGCTACTTACTACTTATTATGTGATTATGCTACTTATTTATCGTGTTATGATGTTACGTATAGCGTTTGTTTTATACAACCCAGTCGTGAAATGACGAGATGGAATGAAAATTACGGTAAATTGAATGTAATTATTTTTCAATCATTAGCCAATCATGCCTTATTCTGTCGTCAATGTGAACATCTTGACATGCCAACAGCAAATGCTGTGTTCTCTTGAAATGGGGGAAAAACATGTAAAACTAGTGGATTTTGACAGCCAAAGTTTGATCCCAACGGTCGGCATGGGCCATGCAGCCCGTTTACATAATATTTATCGCATTCCACCTTCATTCCTCGGTATGTAAATACATTCCGGATTAGCATACCAGAGTTCATGTTTTTGTCACAGGCCGTACGAACTAAGTTTTCTATTGTCGACACCTACAAAGACTGACAATGGCTCCTATGAGCAGTCGGCGTTTATGACCTGCGGTAATTTGTCGAATTATCACGGATAGAGATAGAATGGCAAGGACAGCTTTGATAATCATGTACTGTGTAGCAAGGTAGTGATCTGAGACTTAGCATATCTTGTGCAAACGTGGCAGCGATAATAAAGTCTTCCGATATTTTGGTATCAACTGTAACTATTCAGCATCATGTGTGTTCCTGATTGCTCTTGACAATGTATATTTTTGTATACCTGTATTGTAGAGTCATATCTGCCCTGAACTACATTCTTTGGGCTGCTGTCACTAGCAAACAACTTCAGACATGGATACCGCTTGTGCTAGGTGCCCGCACTTTGATCCGTCAATAGGCTGTTTGGTTTATGGCTCGCCCTTCGGTTTACAGCAGGTGTGACGCGCTCTGAGTTGTAAAATGCGCGCTACCGAGCGACTCGCGCTCCCGTTACAGCGGCCTTCCCCAGCCAAAGTACGACGGGACGGGTCTCACTCTGACACATCATATTTGGCTCGCGTGCTCCATTCTCGCTCGATGCATTCATTCTGACACATTGCAAATATACGGCATTACTTGCATATCACTGTGTTTCTATTCTCTTCGGCTCTCTGGTCAAAACAAGTTTTTGTTCCAGAGGAGAGAGTTCCACATCCCCCTTGCTCCTGTTTCCACTACTTACATCTTCTTAGGAGTAGCAATATGAGCACGTGACCCATAAGTCACGCGTGAGTGTGTTACTCACACAATTACGTTTTCCTTCGATTGCTGACACAGGAATCATCAAGTCGTTTGGCATCTACCCTCATCCGTTCACAATGGTCACAGGTTTCTCGGGCGCTGCGAACAAATTGCGGTAGAAATCGATGAGCGACTTTCTGAGCCGTTTGTTGAAGATCAGGTAGAAGAGGTAGTTGGCGCTGAAGTTGGCGATCTCGAGCAGGTTGGCCAGGGCGGTGGCCACGTCCAGAGCCCTGCTGGGCCGGTCGGCGTACAGCAGGCAGCAGCTGGTGACGGCCGCCGGCGTCATGCCCAGCACCAGGCCCACCATGATGGCCACTACCAGCCAGATGAGCTGGCGCTCCTCCGAGACGGCGCGCTCCTCCATGGCAGCCATGCTGGGCATGCTGGCCACGCTGACGCCGCGCTGCTGGCCGGGCCCCGGCGGCCGGCGACCCTCCGCGCGAGCCACCATCTCCCGGAAGCCGAGCGCGATCCGCCAGTTGAGCAGCAGGCCGGCCAACATGGGCGCCAGGCGCGTCACCACCTCGCTGAAGATGATGTAGCCCTTCCAGCCGCCGGTGCGGTGGTGGTCGACCGCCCAGCCGCCGGCCACCTCCTTGGTGGAGCTGTTGAAGAGGCACGGCAGACTGACGACCACGGACACCACTCCCACGGCCACCAGGCGCCGCCGTGCCTGCTCCCGGCGCTGGGTGCGCTGGAACTCGACGTAGCGGCAGACGGAGGTGTAGCGGTCCACGGTGAGGACCAGCACCACGCCCACCGAGGCGCACATGGTGGTGGTGAGCAGCCACTGCTCGACGTGCGCCGCGTACGTGGCCAGCGGCTCTGTGTCGATGGTCTCTGTCGGCGCCGCCAGACGCACCAGCGTCGGAATCAGGCCGGCCATGATGCTCATGTCGACCGAGGAGAGCACCACCAGGAAGAGGCGCGTGACGCCCCAGCGCTGCGGCGCCACCAGACACGGCAGGAACACCAGGTTGCCGACGATCCCCGATGTGACGAGCAGAGGTGCCACCACGCCGTACGTCACGTGGTGAAGTCGCCGTGTGAACTCGGCGTCACTGACGTTCAGGTACGGGTGGTCCATCTGTGGGGAGACGCGCTGGTAATGTCAGGTCATCTCCCCTGGGTGAGGTCGGCCGGAGCGATGTGTGGTCAGATGAAGGTGACTGTTTGATAGCAGGGTGGAAGGCCTAGATGAATGTTTGTGGACACGAATAGCACAGGATGATCCTGTGTGGCCACCTACCGATAGCCAGCATGTGAATGATTGACATGCCTTTTTAAAGGAACCAAGTACTTTTGGGTGCCTGCTAGATTCAAGCATAACCAATGCTACTGTTTTCTTTCGATTCATGGTTGATTGTTTGCATGCAAATTTTTATTCAATCCCAGAGAGGAAGTGCCCAGCTCGATAAATGACCGACTGATGACAGACTGAAAACCAGACTGAAAACGACGATGTTTCAATCTGAAGCGCTTCAGCTTCTTTAGTCTCGTGCACTGACTCATTTTCTGAGCTTCGTATCAGCTTCGTATCTTGCTTCGTATCATGCACGATTGCGACTTTTGGACGTTCCGGTAGAAAGATAAAGGTAATATTTAAATATAGCATGCATAATAGTTCATCATTTACCGCATTTTAATGTTGTGCAGATAAGGTACGAATGTAATTTATGCAGGCTTGGATTCTGCTTCACTCAGTAAACTTGCCTTGATATACGGATGAAATGATGTGGGTACAAAGTTGACGGCAGTTATTAAACGGCGCATGTCCCAAAATGTCTAGCCTTTTCTTCAAGCGGAGGCTTTCAGGAAGGGACTACCGTATCAAAGTGTTTCGGTTCGCAAAAAGGTGTCAAGTGACCATTCAAGACATTATTACTTCAGCCACTTGGAAAGGGAGCTTCGACCAAGCGTGCATTGAAACGATGACGCGCAAGACTGGTCGCTTCGTTCCCTTTGAAATGTTCCTGTCGCTGCTTTTGACGAGTCTACGGAACGGCATGTATGAATCGCAACTCGGTTTGATGACGTTCAGGGACTTGCAAAATTTATTCAAGGAAGAAGTCAGCCCGGCAATCGCGAAGCAGATGGGCGAAGAGAACCGACGTTATCTTATCCTCACCGTCAACCAGCCAATGATGTAAGTGCGTCTCGAGTCTGACATGGACAGATCCGACTTTGACCGCGCCATCATTTGATCTGCTCGATTGTCACGATATCGGATTGATTTATTTAATGCTTACACGTGTCAGGGGGATCTAAACCAACGTTGCAACGATATTGCACGCTCTTGACTTGCATCATGACACTGCACACACCATAATTTAGTTTGCCACCGGCTTACGCTGTACTAACACGGTTTCGCCGGTAATCCATCCCTTGTTTGTCGTCATTCTATCGCCCGGTGTTTCATTAAGCCAGTCAGTTTATTATTGACCTGATTAAGATTTATAGTGCTGGGGTTATTTTGGCACGTGTTAAACATACCCAGTTTACTTTGCAGGCTATATATAGTAGAGATAGACAAGCTGGGGTCATTAAGCGCTTTCTGATATGATAGGGTGCGAGTCATCTGAGCCCGTAGGGCTCCCTGGGCTTTAGCACCGTGTTTAGAGGCCGTTCCGTTGTTTATTTTGTTTCAGAACACACTATCCACTTCCTCTGCTGTACACTCAGTGTCCGGATCCTGAGCTGATGAGTATGACCAAGCTGGAGCTGCAGAGCAGCATGGCTGCCAGCGCAGGCGACTGTCCTGGCGCCGTATCTCAACAGCCTTGTCATCCACATCAGACTAGTCCCTCGTTGAAACGACCAGTGAGAAAGAAAGAACGCTCTTCGGAGTCGGTTCGGCCGCGCTCTCGTAAGATCTCCTTTGGCAAGGGCGACTTCCTCCATCGAGTGATGGGTGAGCAGATAGAGAGAGCACTGAATGACAGCTTCGGCCAAGGTGCCGGCGGGGAAACAGTCGAGTCTCTGCGCCTCGAGCTGCGAGAACAGGCCAGGGATTTCAAACACGAGCTGGCGCGTCTCCGTCGAGAAAACGAGCGGCTGCGTCGGCGCGTCGAGGAGATGAAGATCCGCGAGATGGAGCTCGCCTCTGAGCTGGTGCGAGTGACTGAGAGGCAGCGGCTGAACCTGCCGCCGGCCTCCGAGCGGACGGCCACGCCGCGGTGCCGGTCGTCCTCGCCGGGCCGGTACGGACGGCGGCGCGGCCACGGCTCGGGCAGCACCGGCAGCCTGGCGTCGCAGACCCCGCGCGCCGCCCGATCACTCTTCAACTTTTTCGACACGGACGAGGCGTGGTCGGGCCGGAGAGCGTCGCTGGAGCGGCGCCGCTCCTCGCCGGCGCTGCGCGACGAGCCGGCAGAGCGCAGCCGCCGCCTGCGCGCCAACATGCGCTCCAAGAGCCTGGACGACACGCGCGCCCACGCCGCCCTCGAGCGGTACCTGTGCTCGCCGGGCCGGCGCTGCTACCGCCGCGCCGAGTCGAGCGACCGGCGCCACCGCTGGGAGGAGCCCGAGCGCGCCCGACCGCGCGGCTGGACAGCCTTCGACCCGGGACAGTACGTCCGCGAGCGGCGGGAGGCGCCGCCGCGGCAGCGCAGCTCGGACCGGGAGCCGGCGGCCCGGCGGCCGGCGGCTCCGGCAGCCTGTGCTCCGGCTCCCAGCTGCGCTCCGGTGCCGGCCCCCCGGTCCCGCTCCCGGCCGCGGCCGCGGAGGAAGGGGGTGGCGCGGGTGGCGGCGGCGGCGCCCAACCAGCCGCCGCCGCCGCCGGAGCGCTGGGAGGATGTGGGAGACTCGGCCGTGGCCGGGATGCGCCAGCTGGAGACCAGACTGAGAAACCTGCAGCGGATGCTGGCCGAAAAACTTACCTGACAGTGAGCTGGGGAGGATCTACGCTTCATTGGTGTCCTAGGTGGGAGTTCATTGCAATGTGAGGAGCCGCCAGCGCTCAGCAAGATTACGGCAGAATCTAATTTTGGTTAGCTGAACTTCGTATTTTAACGGCTCATTGACCGTACTACAGCGGGTATGTATAGTGAAGCACCATATTGCGAGTGCTGGTAGCTGATCAATGATCGTGTGCTATTTTTACGAACTATTTTCGTATAACTGTTGATCATGTTCTGAACTCACAATAAACCACGGCATTTTAATGCAGACAGCTTGACGTTTAACCATTTACCAGGTCAACGGCGGATCTCTTGCGGATTTCGCCATGTTTGCTTCAATTTAATTTCAGTTCTGATTTAAATTGATTTTTCACGCCATAGCCAACCAGCTCACGATGACTCAGGATGCTGAGTGTTTTATAACGGAGTGCCTTTTGACCTTATCGTTTTAATTGTCTGAACTTGATTTATGGTCGTCTAGCCTGGGTCATGGGTGTGTTTGCCAAGCCATCGCGGGGCCATGGTTGAGATCCCTTATTCTTTTTTCTTTTGAAATAAAATATGTATGAGATTTAGTTCAAACCAGCAATCGATCACAAACACAGGAACGATCATGTGATTCGTCAGACTTCATATTTGACCTCGTATTTGTCCACAACGGAGGTGAAAATTAACCTACGAAACACTATGTGTTGAGCCCTGTATATTTTGTCAGTTCTTATCCATGGTCGAGAAACGAGTTGTCGCATTCTTTTGCCTAGTTTTTTTTTTCACCCTTCCTGGCATAGGCGGCGGAACGGGGGGAGGCGCCGGGGCACCGTGGCCGTGCCCTCCTTTGATTTTGGCATTTTAACATTAGCCCTATGGGCGTTGCATGGAAAGATTGGGACCAAAAGTCGGTAGTGCCCCTTCCCCCCCTTAATTGAAGGTATTCCGCTCCACTGCCTCCTGGTGCAAAAAAAAGCATTCCTCGCAGATATACCACATGATATAAGAAGTACCACTTGTGAACCGTGAATAAAAGCTTGCAAGAAGCGTGGATCACCAGAAATTCGAGAAGGTACCTACCTTTTTCGTTGGCCTGTGAAGGCCTGTGGCTCTTCAGTGTCGTTTCAGCCACCGCTTCCTTCTGCTGCTGTTGTGCCTCCTGCTGCTGCTGCTGCTGGTAGTCGTGCTCGTAGTCAGCCTCGCAGCGTCTCCCCGTCTGACCACTCCCTCCCCTCCTCCTCCTTCTCCTTCTCCTCTCCTCCCGGCGCCGGCACCCTCCCTCTCCCTCCACCGCCGGCTGAGCAGTGGCGCTCTCAGAGGGACGCTCTCAGCTTCCACACCTCGCGGGCGGCAGCTCCTATACGATTAGATACTCGGCTCAGATAGGCTGATCCGTCGCCCCGCCCGGTCACAGCGCCTGTCAGAGCGTGTGCGTTGTTTATCTCCGACATATTCCGGCGCTGTGGTGACGGGCCGTGCTCAAACACAAAAGGCCACCTGCGTGGGGCCCCATGACTAAGAGGATTAACAGGCTAGCACCTGTGACGTGCGTGAGTGGTTATGTGTCAGCGGTATGAGAGAATCGAAGAAACAGCCCAAGGGAGGTTACAGCGATATACCTATATGTAGTTAGTTCGCTTCCGTGATGAGCAAAAAAAAAATGTGCTCATGAATAGCATGAAGCGCGGGAGAGGGGTGCATTCTCTTTTCTGCGGTGTTACTTGTGCCGCTTCCTTTCATGGGCTTCCATTTTGGCGGACGCATCACCACACAGCTTTGCGTACCCAGTACCCTACCCACACACCATTCCAATGTACTTTCAAATTCAGGCCGTTACATCGCATGCTAATTAATCATTCCAAAGGAAATTGAAACGCTTGAACGGTAGTCACTTGACATATACCCACCCTTCATTGGACGATATTGACTGAACGCTCTCAACCGCACCGGGAAATTGCCCCCTTGCTCAGTCACTAGATGGCACTGGTGGTTTTCACTGGGTGGTAGGCTGTCCCGCAAGGCATAATGTTAGTGGATATTCGTGCCGCTAGATGGCACTGGGAGTGTGCGCCTGCAGATATGCTGTACCGCACAGCCCCAAACCGCGAGCTCCGGTGATGGGGGCTGATAACTCATGTTGCGTCGGTGATCGTATTGAACCTTGCCAAATCTAAAGATTTCCTGATGCTTCTTGATAGTATTTGTTTCGGCCATGAAATGTGTAGAAAGGTTTGAGTGGTACGTGCTATATGCATTCGCCGTTTCGCGACAGCTATAACTTACCTGTTCGTCGCCAGGGATAGATAAAAGACTTCCACCGTAGCAAAATAAGAAATAAAAAGCCGACTAGCTTTACTTTGAATTCTACAATATGTATGTGTTGTCAATATGTGGTGAATGAGCACCGGCATTTTGCCGTTTTCATTTGCGCTTTTTGCGTGGATTACGTAGCAGACATGTTGTTCGCGAGAAGGGGCGTGTGCCTTGTCATAGTGCCATGTTGCTTTGCTTAAAAAAAAACACGCATTTAGGGCTAGACTTAGCTTGTCCGTCGTGTATTTGGTCAGTGCTCTAATCTAATCGGACCTCCGACAGCGCTTATGCTCCAACAATAACCTGCGATACCCACTGCGTATCTCACGCGAGAACAGTATGTTCAGGAACGGGTTCGCTGCTAGCGTGAACAGCTCCAGGTTGTTGCCAACTGCGCGCCACACTTGGTAACTCGTGTAGCCTTTGGCCAGCTTCATCTTGCCCTGGGCGGCCCACACGAACAGCAGCGCCGAGAACACGTTCGAGATGATGGTCAGAGCCGAGATGGCCGGCAGCATGTAAGCCGCCCGTAGCCGGTGACCGCTGGCGCGCCGCCTCTGCCTCGGCGAGCTACCGTCACTCGCTCCGGTGCCGTACACGCTCGACTCGACCAGCTCGATCACCGGCGGTGGCGCCACCTGTGTGGTCGGTCTGCTGCAGCAGCAGCGCCGCCAGGCGGCCGGAGCGGGAAACACCTGCACGCCGGCCCTCGCCGCCAGGCCGCGCACCACCAGCACGTTGTTGATGAGGATTCCGGCGGCCGGCAGAAGCCGCACGACGACCTGCAGTAGCCACTGGTAGACCATCCAGGCTGTGGTATAGGTGAACGCCTCCTGACGCAGCACGTACCCTCCGATCTCCTCATCCAGCTCTACCTGAGACTGGAACACCATCGGCATGAAGAGCGTCATGGACACGGCCAGAGTGCAGGCGATCCTGAGGAAGGCCACGTCGCCCGTCTCCTCGGCGAGGTACGAGGTGGGCCGCGTCACCGCTACTCGCCTGTTAGCAGACAGCCAGAAGGTGATCCACACCCCCGACGCCAGACACGTGTTCGTTAGAGGTTTGTTCAGATGGGCGGCGTAGAAGGCCAGTGCCAGCGGCGCGCCGGTGCAGGGGTGCGCCGACTCCTGCGACAGCAGATAGGCGAACACGGAGCAGAAGCAGAGTCCGAACAGGTCGGCCACGGACAGCCACAGCAGGTAGGTGTAGACGGTGAGCGCGCGCAGCGGCGGCCGGCGCAGCACCAGCAGGTTGGCCAGGTTGGCCACCACTCCCACGGCGCAGATGGCCTGCGAGCACCAGCCGTAGGCCGCGTGCGCCAGCCGCTCCAGCCGCACGTCAGAGGCCGGGCACGGCTCCATGGGCGCCGGCGGTCACCAGAGGACGGGAGGTACGGAGAGCGGAACTTCCAACGGGAGCCACCAGCTAGTGAGATCCGAGGTTGTGCGGCGTCCAGATGGTGTCCAATGTCCATTAATTCAGTGGGTAAGCTGACACCGTAATTCTTTTAGCAGAAATACGTCGTTGTATTCCTTGGTTTGAAAGTTTTCCTTTTTTCACACGAGTGGTTTACGCTATCGTCTCACTGCTATTCATAACTTCACTCTTGCGAAAATCCTCATAAAAGTAGATCGTGTTCTGTTCAACAAGTTAAGACACTGAGCTGACGCTTTGCCTCATTTTCAGTCGCCTATTACATACTTCTTTACATCAGAAGTCCACTCCACATTGGATATCAACACAGGCGCAGATCACCTTCCTCTGCCCTTCAAGAGTCCTGGTCAGCCTACACCGACTGCCACGAGCTTAGCACACGGTACTCCGCCGTCCTCCCGGGTCGGTCCCACACTGACTGACATATGGCCCTCTGCGACCCTGGGCTGGCCCGCCGGCCATCGCCAACCGATCGCCGATTATTGTTGACCTCGGGTCGGCCCGGTACATAACGCCTCGGGCAATCCCGCCCCAGGCTATCCGCCGTGTCATTCCCGCCGTCATCTGGGGTCATATACGCGTGTCGCGTGGGTGTGCAGTGTGTACCGTCTGCGCACTGCACACAGGAGATACGGAAATGACCAATCATACGACGGTTATCGGGCGAGCACATCGCCCGTTGGGTGACATTCGATGGAGCATCTTCCAGGCAAGCCGCAAGTTCATTGTCACGTTGGTTGTATTCTTTGTTTCCAGGCAATGCTAGATTCGAGCAGGCTGGTCAGTTGTGTCGCTATAGTTTCTGCTCGTGAAGTGTGAAGGACCTGTTCATGTTGTCAGACCAAGTTGCATGTTTGGTCATCCAATAGGCGGATCCAGAAAGACGGTCTGAGGTCTTGGACGTTGCGGGGAACATAGGTACCCTCGAAGATGTTTCTCTAAATTCTAATAGTTCATCGGGTTTCGTTTCCCCATACACTGCTGTGCAGTTGGAAGCAAACTTTTCCCGATGAAAGTTATCAAGCTTTCCTTCTTATTAGAAAAACGACAAAGTTTCACTGATATTTGATTTTCTTTTGGGCGCTGCGAGGGGGGCATTTGCTCCTAATACCCCCTTTGATCGGCAAGTGGGTGATCGATCATCACATGTGACATACCTGCATTGTCTCTGTAAAACAAATTCATGTCCCTTTCCTTTCCTTTGATAATCCCATGATTAGGTAAATCCCTTCCTTTGATAATCTTTGATAATTTGGTAAGTCCCAACTCGTTGCATGTAAAATGCACATGTAATCGAAAAACTGAGCGTAACTATAACGCCCATAACCTCTGCCTTGCCCTGCCCCCTCTCCAAACATTGATTTCATGTGTGCATAACTATTTAGGAGTAGGTAAGCCAATGCACATTAAAAGCAACGCTTGCAATCGATGTTTGTGTAGCTCGATGCGTTTTATTTTGAGTCTGCTATGCATTGTATGTATTTTCTCGACCAAGATTCAGGTCGACGCCCTCATTAGTAAAGTAATCTTGGTTGCCCCCCCCCCCCCCCGGGGCCGCCGCGCTGAGCCGAGAGCTGAGCGTCACGGGACACGCCCACCTTTCCGCCACGCCCACTTCGAAGGTGACCTTGAGCGTATGTACTCATAACAACTTATCGCTATACGCGGGCGACGCAAAAGTGTTTCAGTATGCCGATGACACTCAAGTATTGGTTAGCGGTCCAGCTCGGGACCTCGAAGTTCTCATCTCGCGCATGGAGGACTCGCTCGCGTCTCTCAGCGACTGGTTTTGCGCTAACGCCCTCAAAGTGAACGCAAGTAAAACACAGCTTATTGTATTTGGCAGTCGTCAAAATCTACGTAAATTACCAGACTTTAGAGTACCATTCCGCGACGCAGCGTTGCAACCGTGCGCACAGGTCGGGAACCTTGGCGTCACTTTCGACAGCACTATGTCATGGGACGCACACGTCTCTGAACTCTGCCGCCGGTGTACGGGACTGTTGATTGGTCTTTCACATGCGCGCCACTGTCTCCCAGATGGCATCATTCGAACGCTCGTGACGGCACTCGTTGTATCGCGTATCCAGTACTGCCTTTCAGTTTATGGTAATGGGTCCCAAAAAAATTTCGATCGACTCCAAAAAATTCTTAACTTCGCCGCTAGAGTTATTTTCGGCCGCCGTAAATTTGACCATGTCTCCGACCTGCGAACAAAACTCGGTTGGTTGTCCCCGCGCGGTATGTCCGATTTCCACACCCTTGTCATCGCACACAAGGTCATACAGCGCCGAGAACCCGAGCAACTAGCAGCCCTGTTCGTCGCTAATAGCGCTATCCGCGAGAGACCATCCAGGCAAGATCACCTCTTCCATCTTCCCCGTCCGCGGCTGGAAACGGGCAAGCGGCGGTTTGGCTATCGAGCTGCAGCTCTGCTGAACAGCCTGCCACCTCACCTGTCGCAGCTGCCTCCCGCCCGCTTCGCCCGCGCTGTTAAAGCCGCAATCGTGGACGATGAATCAGCACATCGTCGCTGACCAATAGGATGGGGGTGGGTAAGAGCAATGAGGCTGTCCTGAGAGTATTTTGTCCTTGTTTTGATGTGAGTGAATGTGCAAATGTATTGAATGATTAGATTAGCAACCGCGGATACGGATTCTGAGCAGTAATCGCCACGCACATCGTATGTGGATCGCTCTTAAATGTAAATACAAATACAAATACAAATACAATACAAAGGAATTAGGAAGGAATGCACTGGGCGGGGAATCGGAACGCTGCGCTCAGCTGAGCGCCTCCGGGCAAACCATCAGCCCGTCTGAAGGTCACGTGGTCGACCGTCATACGGCACGGCGCCGAAAGTATTGATCTTTGCCGAGAGAACTGAAGATGAGCTGAACTGAACACGACCATGATGCGTCGAAAATCCTTTTCTCTAAGATATGTATTTCGTCACGCCCCCTCCTCAAAAAAAAAACCTGTTTATATTTCCCGAAATGTTCAAATTAAGAGAAAAACAGTATTTTCAGCATCGATCGTTTATTTACACTAATCACAAAGCAAGGCTCAAAAACAAAACTAGAAAGGCGGTCCGCCCGCAGTCACAATCGGAGAAGAAAAAAATCAGCAAAAGGCTGGCCTCTAGCCGGGCAAAGTGTATTCCCGTAGTACAGATATCGATCAGGCATTGGTAGGGAAACAGTCTACGATTGTCCCGGCAAGATTACATAGACGGGCAAACCACACTTCCCTCACAGCACGAGAACTCGCGGCTTCCGCCAGACATTCCACCGACCTCCAGACACTGGCCGACCCGTCACGGGGCTAGATAAACGCCTCACACAGCACAGCCGCCGCCAGGCAATGTTCTGGTTCCCACAGTCGATGCGAGCCTGCGACCACTCCTACCTACTTCTTGCAGTCGCCGTTTGCGGTGTTGCCAGCAGAGTCGTAGGTGATTCGCAGCGGCGGCTCGTCCTTCTTCTCCCGGGGTCCTTCGATCTCGATCGGGATCGTCCTGGCAGTGCTGCGGCGCTCCTGGGCCAGCGGTGCCTCCAGCTTCAGGTGACCCGACGGGGTCAGCTGGGAGGTCAGCTTGTCGACGCAGGCGTCCTCGGGCGCTGTGAACTGTCGCACTGTCCGGCTGAACGAGTAGCCGTCCGGGTGTTTCTCCTCGTGCTCAGCTCGTACCGTGATGGTTCCGTCGGCGACTTTGACGACCACCTCGTCCGGCTTGTAGTGACCCAGGTGCATTGAGACCTGGAACTTGTCGGGCTTCTCGGGCTTTTCGACGGCGCGCGGCTCGGCCAGCTCGGCGAGCAGAGGGAATCCCATCCACGGGCCCAGCCAGAAAGACATGTTGTCGGCCATAGTGTGCTTCACAAACGGCGAAAATTCACGTGTCGGTAGTTGCGCACAGCGTGAGCGTCGCAGCACCTCGCGATGTCCGATTTTCGACTGATGTCCGACAGCACGGAGCTCTAAAATATAAACTTTCAACCCGTCCGGACGAGGCTTCTGGTACCGTGTGGAATGATCTTTTTCTCGAACCGACTCGGCTTCTGCCGGGCGGCGCGGCGCTACTCATTGGCTGAGCGGCTATGACGTCACGAAAAGCGAGGTGCTGATTGGCGCTTGTGTGACGTCAGATGCTAAAACTGCATCGATCCAACTAGAAATGCCGAGAGCAGCCGAGAGGTTACCGGAGCGGTCCCGAGTGTTGGGGGCTACTGGGGATGTGTTGTTTTCATCCCCATCCGGTTTCCGCCTTGTATTGCGCCGGTTTTGACGGGTGAGACTAAATGCTTACTTCGAAATCTAAGCTGTGTTGCGGCATTGGCGGTTATGTGCGGCGTGTATGCCGCATGATTAGTAAGCGGCGACCACTAAATTAAAGACTTAAACGCTCCAACCTGTTTTCAATGAATAACACTGCATACCAAAAATGCCAATCGCTCTCGTCATAAGATATTTAGATTTAAATAACTAAGTTATCTGCATCATCATTTTGAACCAAATTAATGCTTTCAACTTAGTACTCACTCATTCCTTCCTTCGTTGGCTCCAAACAGTCTTTCGATTGTCTGGAAATCGTATGCCAAATCCCGCACCTGTATACGACTGGTGCATATAAAGGCCGATGTAAGAATTTCAATAGGCTCTCGCATGCGATTTCCTGGCTACCCAAAAAGTCTGTTCCAGTCATGCTATTAAAACATGGTATGTCAGCCCTGTCACCAGCTTATGACTGCTCTGCTTGTAGTGCCCCTGACCGTCACCGACTGCCTTCCCTCCTTAAAAGCCTAGTTTCCCTCCATCATCTCTACTAGATTTAGGTGATGCTCCGACAAATTCACAAACAAGACCGAACTTGTTCGGAGTTCGGACTGTGAGTTACCTAACCCTCGCCCTTTAGGGGGGGGGGGGGGTCGAACGGACTCCCCTCGGTTTTTCGCGAATAACTCGCGTAAAGAGCGGCCGATCACGACGTAACTTTTAGTACCCTCGCGTTGATCAATTTTACACCTACCCTGAAAATTTCATGACCCTGACGCAAATAACCCTTGACCTGTGACCTACTTTTCGAGACCATGTTTGGCCGGAACCGCAATTCAGCGTATGTCGGCTCGCATTAGCAGCGCGTTTGCAGTCTTTTCGTGGTTTCAAGCGTTCAAACATGTGATATGATCTTGCCCCCATGCATTAGGGTGGGTGTCAAGGTCATCTGAAGGTCAGGTCAGGTCACTGACCTTTGGTGACCTCGGTTCACTTTTTCGAGTTTGACATGTTTCTAGGCCAGTTTTTCGAGCTGAATTCGAGTTTAGCAACCACATGAACGTTTACAAAGTAGTTTTGGTGCCTTCGTAACATGTTACGAGGCTGTCAGAGGCGGTTGACACCTACTACAAATACCCGGCAGGACCTCTACTGGTTGACCTGACCTGACCTGACCCGACCTGGCCTAAATGAATGAAGACATCATCTGTGATCAAAACTAGCATGATATTCGTGATCAGCACCCCGAAAAACCCCATAGCAGCCACACTACGACGTTCTAACAGGTCCTGATTTTCCCGCCTTTTGGGTCATTGACCTGACCTGGAAGGTCAACCGATGACCTAGGACCTTAACATTGGGTATCATCGGCTTCCTCTCGTCACGGGCAACACGCTCGTTTTTTTTTCCGCGAAGCTCTAGCTTGATCAGGAGCGAAACGGCAAGGGGTTATACCTTATACGTTCGCGGCTGGAAAAAAAACAATACGGGCGAGGGTCAAGTTTAAAGTATTAATTTGGTTCAAAACGATGATGTAGATAAGTTAGTTATTTAAATCTAAATATCCTATGACGAGAGCGATGGACATTTTTGGTATGCAGTGTTATCCATTGAAAACAGGTCAAAGCTATTGAGTTTTTAATTTAGTGGTCGCCGCTTACTAAGCATGCGGCATACACGCCGCACATAACCGCCAATGCCGCAACGCAGCTTAGATTTCGAAAGTAAGCATTTAGTCTCACCCGTTTTGACGACGGGCGGCCGCCGGCCGGCGGCGGTGGACGGTGGCTAAAGCTTAGCGGCCAGCGGCTATGAGTATGGACCCGACATAGTGTAGTAAGCAGTACGGCAATGCATCCTGCTTCCGCCTGCGAAACTCTGTCTTATTCCTGAATTCTGCCAGCGAGGGGGTGGAGGTCGGTCGTCGCATTACATCACAGGTCGCAGTTATGTAACAGCTGCATTTCGTCGGTTGCAGACGGACTGATGACGCTGCAACACGTCGGTGTTAACTGCTAAATCATGGGAAATGGTGATGGGTGCAATGCACGACTGAACTTAGGGGGTGGATGGTCTGATCATCTGCATCACCTTGTCGAACTTCAGCCCATAGCTTAGCTATATGATGTTTATTATCGGAAATGTTAAACGAACGCCTTTAATGCACATTTTGTTGCTCAATGCCATGATCACTTTTTTGTGGGTAGGGGGCAGCATAGTAGGTGCCCCGTGCTCCCTTCGCAGTGAAACTAGAATCCTCTCGGACCGGAAACGCACAAAACACCTTTTTGCCGAATCCATTGATACGAGTTAGACTAGCTAAATCATGGCTACTTGCCAAGTCTATGTATATACCTACCTGTAATGTAACCTATGTATTCATTTACTAAAAAATGTATATGACACCGTTCTCCTGAAGGCAGGGGATCGGTTTACATTACGTCATATGTTCAACATAATTGCATTATGTTCGGGATGTAGTCGAATATGCTCATGAATTCTACCACGTTCGATGTTGCATAACAGTCAGCATTGCACCGGACGCGGTATCATGAGTGCGCCGTAACAACTCTCCCGGGCTCTTTATCGATATGGCTCAACTCAGGGTCGACGGCGTGAAGGCACTAGAAAACGAGCGTTCGAATCGTTTTGAAAGCTGCGGTAGTTTTGTTTTGATAATAGTTTTCTGAATATTCAAAATATTACTTGTTAGCATAAGGTTGCTCCCTACGAATGAATCTGTCGTTATATAACGACGTCAATATTGACGATAACGCTTGATTGCATCATGGCCCGTCCTTAAAAGCAATCAGAGCAACCATGAGCAACCAACCGAGCCATATCGGAGATACAAAAAAATACAATCCACTTTCTCTAGCTGTTTGTTTGAGAAAAATAAATGGAAGGTGACATGTTAATTTTTAGGATACCTATGCAAATATTTAGCGTCATTACGATTTGGCCTGAATCGCCAGCATTGAAAACCAATAGTCTGAAAATTATATGGTGGCATTTTTGTAGCGATTATGATTTTCTATTCACAAACAGTTTCCATACAGCTCGGTTGGTGGAAAATGAAAGCATTGATCGAGTTTTGCCATTTAGTGGCATTGTAACTATTACTTATCTCGACAGCTAGTAATGCCTGCAATTAAGACCTTGTACGGTAGTGACTACACCTCTGTCCCCGTTTTAAAAGTTTCTGCAAAACACCTGAATGGAAATTGTGGGGGGAGGGGACGTCCGCTGCCAGTGGCGGTCGCAGGGGGGGGCCATCAGGGCCATGGCCCCCCCAAAGGCAAATCAGGGGGGGCCATCATATCATTTGGCCCCCCCCAAACAAACGATGGGCCCCCATGGCCGTATGGGGCCCTGGCCCGTATTCGATTGTCACGAGGCTCGAAAAACCACGCCAGCCATTAACAGCTCCCATACCAGTCTTTGAGGGTCCTACACTGACCTCTGAGGGCCCTTCAGTGGCGGTCAAGCGTCCACATTGACCGCTGAGGACCCACATTGACCTCTGAGGGCCCTCCACTGGCCTTTGAGGGCCCCTAAACCGGCCTCAGGGGCCCAACCGGCGTCTGAGAGCCTCACACCGGCCTCTGGTGGCCTCGTTTGACATTTCTGTCTCTCGAGTCCTAAGACTAACCTTTAAGTGTCTCTGAGGGCCCCGCACTGGACTCTGAAGACCCGATGTCGGCCTCTAAGAGCCCGCATCGGCCTCTGGGGCCCATCTTGGCCTTTGAGGGCCCTCCACTGGTCTCTGGGGTCCAACGCCGGCCCATGCCGGCCTTTTAGGGCCCCACACTGACCTCTAAGGGCCCCATGCTGGCCTGTAAGGACCCACATTAGCCTCTGAGGGCCCCCCGCACTGGATTCTGAAGACCCAATGCCGGCCGCTCAGGGCCTGCATCGGCGTCTGAGGGTCCATCTTGGCCTTTGAGGGCCCTCCGCTGGCCTCTGGGGTCCAACACCGGCCCATGCCGGTCTTTTAGGGCCCCACACTGACCTCTGAGGGCCCCATGCTGGCCTGTAAGGACACACATTAGCCTCTATGGGCCCCGCACTGGATTCTGAAGACCCGATGCCGGCCTCTAAGGGTCCGCATCGGCCTCTGAGGGCCCATCTTGGCCTTTGAGGGCCCTCTGCTGGCCTCTGGGGTCCAACGCCGGCCAATGCCAGTCTTTTAGGGTCCCATTCTGACCTTTGAGGGCCTCATGCTGGCCTGTAAAGGCCCACATTAGCTTCTGAGGGCCCCCCGCACTGGAATCTGAAGACCCGATGCCGGCCTCTAAGGGTCAGCATCGGCTTCTGAGGGCCCATCTTGGCCTTTGAGGGCCTTCTGTTGGCCTCTGGAGTCCAACGCCGGCCCATGCCGGTCTTTTAGGGCCCCACACTGACCTCTGAGGGCCCGTGCTGGCCTGTAAGGACCCACCTTAGCCTCTGAGGGCCCCGCACGGGCTTCTGAAGACCTGATGCCGGCCTCTAAGGGCCCGCATCTAAGGGCTCATGTTGGCCTTTGAGGGCCCTCTACTGGCCTCTGGGGTCCAACGCCGGCTCATGTCGGTCTTTTATGGCCCCACGCTAACCTCTGAGGGCTGTATGCTGGCCTGTAAAGACCCATATTAGCCTCTGAGTGCCCAATTCGGTCTCTGATGGTCTCAAACTGCCCTTTACAGGCCCTGTACTG